TGGTAAAGTTTTTATGGACATCTCTCCGCACCTTGTTGCTTGTTGCATCTCTCAGGTAATCTCGGTGCCCACCATTTGCTACTTTAATTAATTTATCTTTGATTGTCAATCGTGTTTCTGGTAAGGTTTCTCTCCTTAAAACCATCATTTTTTCCCTTTCTTCATCTGTTCACTTTAAGAAGATGAGAGAAAAAAAGTTGCGAGCATTTCAATTTACAAAGTGTAATTACAAAAGGAAAAAAAGCATACTAACCAAAACCATCCAATGCAGACCAATTTCGCCACTTACTTCTTCTGGTTGAGGATTTAATTTAGCATAAAAAAGGGTTTTTTGGGCAGTCTTTTTCAAAACAGAAAGGATTCCTCACCAGATGGACACACTTTCTCTTTCCATTTCCTTCCGTTTCCTTCTGTTCCGGAGCTGTCCCAACTTCATCAGCCTAGGCTGCCTTTTGTCGCCAGCTTGAAAAGCTTCTCTTGGATCAATCAGGGACTTTGCGGGGTCCCTGAGATCAGCAAGACGCAGTCTTCCTGTTCACCGTCTCTTCGGGACGGTTTAGGTCTGATTGGACCACCCAGGGGCAAAAGTATCAGCAGCGGTCTCGGAGCATCGAGACTGCACGTCCATACCGTCGCGATGTTGGCTCCTCCCTCTTTTCTGATTTGTTTTTATGTTTGGATATAGCAATAGCACTTACTTATATACTGCTTTACAGTGCTTTACAGCCCTCTTTAAGAGGTTTACAGAGTCAGTCTGTTTATATTGCCCTCCAAAATTTGGGTCCTCATTTTACCCACCTCAGAAGGATGGAAGGTTGAGTCAACCTTGAACCTGGTGAGATTTGAACTGCCAAATTGCAGGCAGTCAGCAGTCAGTAGAAGTAGCTTGCAGTCTAACCACTGCACCAACATGGCTCATATATCATTATGTTATAGGTATTTTCAATTTCAGGATATTTGAAGAGTGAAATTGAGAAAATTCAGTTATCCAATGTGTATAGGAAATGCACTACAGTAGTAATGGTGGACTTTAACTACCCCAACATCAGCTGGGAGATAAATTCTGCATCAAGTGGGAGATCAAACACATTCCTGACCAACCTAGCTGACAACTTCATCATCCCAAAGGTAGAGTGGTAACTAGAGGAACAGCTGTACTGTACCTTATTCTTACCAACAGCGAAGAAGTGATAGAGGGGATTGAAGCTGTAGGAACTTTAGGGGAGAGTGACCACGTCATATTAAAATTCAATATAAAACCGACACAATCAAACCAGTGTCATAGACTTTAAAAGAGCTAATTTTAACAAACTCAGAGAGAGCCTAAGAAAGATGCCATGGATGAAAATCCTAGAGGGGAAAACATCTCAAGAAGCTTGGGAAAATCTGAAAAATACAATTATAAAAACCTAATCCAGTTCAATGCCACTAAAAAAGAGAAAAAGCACCATAAAACAATTTTAAAAGTTTCAACTTTTTTTAAATAAAAAAAGAGAAAGCCGAACTTAACTCATACTTTATGCAGAAAGTAAACTGTATTCAACTTACCAAAAACACAACTGTAAACAACAGGTTAGGAATGCAAATTGAAATATGTAAAAATAAGGTTAGGGTTAGTGGTTTCAGGTCACTGGGTCTTGATGGACTATGTCCCAGGGTTTTGAAGGAACTGGCAGATATGATTTCAGAACCATTGAAACATCTTTCAAAGTTCTTGCATCACTATGGACAGGAAAAGAGCTGACATCGTTCTAACTTTTGAAGTTCCCGTCTTCAAAAAAGGAAGAAAAAAAATTACAAACCAATCAGCCTGACATCAATATCTGGGAAGATTTTGAAAAAGATAAGCAATAAATAAAGCACCTAGAACAGTGGTTCTCAACCTGTGGGACCTTGAGGGACCCCTTTGGGGGTCAAACGACCCTTTCACAGGGGTTGCCTAAGACCATCAGAAAACACATATTTTTGAAAAAATACGGAAAACAAAACAATTTTATGGTTGTGGGTCACCACAACATGAGGAACTGTATTAAAGGGTCGTGGCATTAGGAAAGTTGAGAACCACTGATCTAGAAGCATTGACCGCTGCATCAGAGTTGTGTTTGACCTTAGGGGGCCGGGGTGGGCCTGGCCAGCTCAGTGTTCCTTGTGTCAGTTACAATGTTGTTACTTGAGCGCTCTTCCAGGTAAACAGGCGCTCCTGACCTCCGTTTTTGGCTGCTATGGCCTCCTGCAACCCTCTGCCAGCCAAAACAGTTGGGAGGGCTGCACGCAGTTCTCCCGAGCTGTTTTGACGGGCAGAGGGTTGCAGGAGGCCATAGCAGCCAAAAACGGAGCTCGGGAGCCCGTTTCTGCTGGCAGAGGGACCTTGGGCTGGTCCTTCGCTGTTTCCAGGGCGGCCAAGTGGGCCAGATCTGGGTGGATCCAGCCCCCCCCCCCGGCTTTGAATTTGATACCTCTGTTCTACACGGTCCCTGTATTGATAACACTCTTTATCTGTGTGACATTTGTTTTAATTTAAGAATAAATCAATACCTAAATTATATGCTTTGTTTATTTTTAGAAATAAGGAAAAAAGAGTTGGAAAACAATTATTTTGTGCATGTTGATGGTCTGAATCCTTCAGTATCAGAGGTAAGTTAAGATTAGAATATGTTTGTTTCCCTTGATGCTACTCTGAAAGTATATTTATCTTCTTGATTATTTCAGGTTGACCTTTGGCTTCATTTCCAGAAGTATAATGTTTCTGAGGTTTTGGTTTGTGAGTATTCTGAAAATTACAGGTATGTGTATTGTACTGTCTCGTCAGTGGCTGCTGCTATTGGGATGTACATTATATACATTATTAATTAACATCTTTTAGAAGTGAGTAGTAACTTATTTAAATAGTAAGTTCTGTCATTAACTGCTATTGGTAATACTGTTGGAAGAAATGTCCATCTGGGTTCAGTTCCAAGTGGGGGGAAAGACACTGGAAACATGGAGGCTGCTTGGAAAGATGGTATTAATGGGGGACAGGACCACATGGCTTGTGGTCCTAGGCAAAAAGTGGATCACATGCTTCAAAGATGTTGGGTGAAGAAAAAGAAGTGAAGGGTTTACTGAGAGTTCCTGAGTTTTTTATACTCAGGTGGCGCAGTGGTTAAATGCAGCACTGCAGGCTACTNCTGCCTCCCCTGACTGCACGTCCCTGGACTATAGGTAAACATTATGCTGTGATGATGGAGAACATTAGTAGGGAATCATTTAAGGGTTACAAAAGAGAAACTAATTTGTCACACAAATTTACACTCTTGTCAGTTAAGGCCTGAGAGTATACAAACAATTACTCAACTGTAGGAGGTCCCAGGAACACAAGCAAACTAAGCTGGAGTCTCTGCCCTGCAGTGCCCCCTAGTGGCATACATTTATATTTCTCTTGTTTGAGAACTACATTGAGAAGTACAGTGTTACTTGAATTGTATTCCAGGATTTGTTTATCTTCAGTTGAGAGAATTTAATTTAAAACTTTACACACACACAAAAATCACATAAATCTTTCATTAAGGACTTCATGAATATCAATGTCATAAATATATTATTTATCAATGGAAAATAACATATTCGTCAGTCTTTCCCACCCCCCAATTTTTTCCAGAAAAGATGGCTGGGGGGGGGGGGGAGATTTTTCCCCCAATTTTTCAGGGTGTTTTTCCAGGCCTTCCCTCTCTAGTCGTCACGCAAAAAAGAAACTGTAACCCAGCCTACCAAAAACCTAAATGTAAAATACAGACTAGAAATTAAAATAAGAATATAGTTAGAGAATACCTATTTGATATTGACGAATATAAATCACCGGGATATAATGGTTTACATCCCAGAGTTCTGAAAGAGTTGGCAGATGTTATTTCAGATCCATTGTATCTGAGAACATCTAGAAACAAAGTTATAACTAAAAGCCAGCATGGGTCTGTTAAAAACACAATGCCAAACCAACCTTATTTCATTTTTGACAAAGTGGTTAAATTAGTAGATCAGTGAAATGCTGGGGTCATAATACACTTAGACTTCAGCAAGTCATTTGACAAAGTAGACCACAACCTACTTTTTGGTAAGCTATAAAAAAGTGGGATAGGTAGTATCACTACCAGATGGATTTGTAACAGCCTGACAAACTGTACTCAACAAGTAGTCCTTAATGGTACTGCATGGAGGGAAATAAGCAGTGGGATGCCACAGGGTTCCATCCTGTATTCTTCCTTTTTTAAAAATAATTTTTTTTATTTTCAAAACAAACACAATACAAAGAATCCTCCTTCCTTACATACTGTAAAAAGTGTATCAGTTGGTTACAAAAAGACTTCCGTGCATCTCTTCCACNAGTAGTCCTAATAAGAATGCTTCTGGTTTGAGTTCTATTTTTCGCTCAGTAATTTCTTCTAACCACTTCCAAATTTTACACCAGTACTTCCTTGTTATGGGGCACGTCCACCACATGTGATAGAATGTTCCAGGCTTGTGGTTGCATCTCCAACAATTAGGGGACAAATTTGGGTACATTTTGGCCAATCTCGCTGGAGGAAAATGCCATCTATAAAACATTTTATAAAGATTTCCTTTGTAAACTACTGCCGTCGTAAATTTATATTTTTTTCCCCACAGTTTATCCCATTTTTCTAACTCTATATTATGACCAAAATTTCTTCCCCAGCTAATCATTGTCTCCTTTACCGTCTCTTCCTCCATTTTATATTTTAAAGACTTGAAGTCTTTCTCTTGAAGTCTTGTTTCTCTTTTTTTATTTTTATGTGTGTTGCCCTTTCTCTTCTGTATCCCTTTTACCTCTTTTTGTTATATGATTTGCACCCCCCTCACCAGAACTTCCACTTTTCTCTGCAGAATAGGTCCCTTTTTGTCTTTTAACTGCTTCTTTTGGGGGGAGGGTTTCCCCCTTTTCCTCTCTACACTTTCTAACTTTCTATGAATTTCTCTAGTATTGTCTAATTGATTCTTGTCTTTTACTTCTTTTGCTTCTAAACTTTTAGCTTCTTGCATTTCCTTTAAACTTTCCCCTTCAAATTCCTCTTCTCTTTTCTGTGTGTTTAAACAAACTTTATTATCTATCAAGGATTCACATACTTCTTTTAGCATCAAAAATATTTTTCCATAAATCTGAAACACTATTTTATAGCAATTTAAAAAGTTTTTAAAACCACCAATTATCTCTCTACAATTAGTCCAAATTTAAAGTTTATTTAATTCTTTAATTTTTTCAATTCTTCTTCTTCTCTTTAAAAGAAGGGTGTTCTACTGAGTTAATATAATCCAGTAGTAATCCAATTTCAGAACTAAACAAATGCAGTTGTAAATTAGCTTTCTTCAAAGAGAGCAAAGAAAAGGAAAAAAACAAACACAAACGCCCCTTAAATTTTCTCAGGGTCCAAATTACTGTTATCTTCTTCTGTATAGCCAAGGACAAAACACCCAGCTGCTACTTCTCTCGTTTTGTCTGTTTCAGTCTCTTAGTCTGTATTTTGCTCACCATGCCTGTCGAGCTTTGTAACATTTAAATTTCCTCCAGTAGGAGGAGCCCTCTGGATTTCTATTCCATATTAAGGGAATCTTAACAAACACAGCTGATTGTCAAAATATCCAGGGAGTTGTTTCTTGGTTGGTGTTTGCCTAAAAATAAAAAAAAATCAGATAGATAGATAGATAGATAGATAGATAGATAGATAGATAGATAGATAGATAGATAGAAAGATAGATAGATATATATCAGTTCATGTAGTGACCATTCAAAGTTACAACGGCACTGAAAAAAATGACTTATGACCACTTTTCACACTTACAACTGTTGCAGGATCCCCATGGTATCACAATTCATTTATAATGGGGTCATGTGATCACCTTTTGCAACTATCTGACAAGCAAAGTCAAGCCAGATCCTCTTAACAATCGTATTACTAACTTAACAATTGCAGTGATTTATGTAACAACTTAACAACTGTGGCAAGAAAGGTCCTAAAATGATTTTAGGATTTGTGAGCACCTAGAAAGTGATTACTAGAAGCCAGCATAAGTTTGTTAAAAACAGATGATGCCAAACAAATTTTATTCTCTTCTTTGATAAAGTGACTAAATTAGTGGATCAAGAAAATCCTGCGGATGTAGCATACTTAGACAATGAGGCATTTGACAAAGCAGACTACAGTTTACTTCTTAGTAACATAGAACAATGTGATAGATAGTACCATCATCAGATAGATTTGCAGTTGTCTGATCAACCTCGTTCAGCAAACAGTCCTCAATGGAATTACATCTATTGTATAAGGAGAGAAGCATGCAGTGGAGCTCCTCATGGTTCTGTCTTGATCCCAGTGCTCTTCAACATCTTCATAAATGATCTAGATGAGAGGATAGAAAGGGAGCTCATCAAATTTGTAGACAACACCATGCTAGGGGAATTATTAGCACTTTGGAAGAGAAGTTTAAAATTCAGAAGGATCTTGATTGACTAAAAGGAATTTGCCTTATGCAGGATGGGGGTGGGAAAGGTAAGGTCCTACATTTAGGGAGAAACAATTAAATGCACAGATATAGAAGAGGCAGCATGTGGAATAACAGTTATAACTGAAAGGGATCCAGGTGTGCTGTTGGACCATTATTTAAGTCTGAGTTTGCTGCAGCTATCAAAAAGCCAATGTAGTCCTAAGCTGCATTAACAGGGGGATAGCTTTGAGCCGATGAGAAGTGATAGTACTGCTCTATATTGCACTAGTGAGGTCAACTTGGAGTACTGCGTACTGTTGTGGTCACTACAATGCATAAAAGATGCTGAGTAGTAAGAGTGCAGAGAACAGCAAACAGCAACTAAGATGACAAGAGGTCTGGAGGCTAAACTATATGATGAACAATTAAGGGAACTAGGTACATCTAGTTAACAAAGAGAAGAATTAGGGGTGACACAATAGCTGTCTTCTAGTACTTGAGGGGGAGTCATGGAAAAGAAGGGGTTGCTTATTCTCCAAAGCACCTGAGGGCAGGACAAGAAGTGATAGGTGGAATCTCATTAAAAAGACAGAAATTTCCTGACAGTGAGAATAGAACAGCTGGCCTCCTGGAATTGTGGGTCTTCCATTGCTGAAGGTTTTCAAGAAAAAAATGGGCATCCATTTGTCCAGGATGGTATGGGGTCTCCTGTCTGGGCAGGGGGTTGGATTAGAATATCTCCAAGATCCCTTGTAGTCCTATGATTCTATGATAAGTTTATTTTTAAAGTTTTTGTTCACCTTCCAAGGAAGAAAGAATTAATGTTTACCTGGCAGCATCCACCCATCACTGGCCAAAAGAAACTTTCTAAAATGCCAAATAAATGTAATGAATCTAACTCAATGTATTAATCGTCTCCTATATTTAATTAATGAAATGTACAAAAAGTATTATTTTAAAAATTCTGCATATATTTTACATTTTAGGTATGCAGCTCTTACTTTTAAAACAGCCTGTGATGCAAAGCTGGCCGTGCAAGAAATGAATGGGAGAGAAATAAAAGGAAAAGCAATGAAACTTCATCTTAAAAGGACAATTAAGGAAAAAGGAATCCAAGAGAATCAAAACTGCATGAAAGAAAAATGTGAAAATCAAGGGCCACTTTCTAAAACGAGAAACAAATATCAGAACAACTCTGAACTGATTTTGGGAGTTCCTGCTGCAATCTCAGCTCCATTCATGCTGCCTCCAGATGATCCTTTCACTTTAAAAATGTCTGATGTCTCCAAAGATGATCTGAAGTCACCGTTGCCTGCTTTGCCATTGGCAAATGTTTTCCGACCTGCCTCGGGTTCTTCAGAAGTGCCCAATTCTGACATTATATTTTCTAAATCTTCACCAAAAAAAGCATCCTTTGAAGTAGACCAAGAGGTAACTTTTATGGGATTACATATCAGAAGACATATCTGTCTATTGCAAGGTTTAATATAGATAAGCTTAACTGATAAGTGCAGGTCTTCCAAGGTTAACCTCCTCCCCTAGAGGGCGCTTTTTTTAGAGGCTTTTTTAAACAGTTAAGCACCAAGCAGAGTCATCATCCACACGGTGACTCTGGCAGCAACTAGCTCAGCCTTTTTCCTTTTACATTTTNTTTTAAGTTTTTTATAGGCAGTCTCTTTTAAAACAGTAAAAATTCCTCACCAGCTGGAAACACTTTCCGTATCCTTCTGTTTTGGAACCGCCCCGATTTCATCAGCCTAATGGCTGGATTTTTGTCGCCGACTTCTCTTGTATCGATCAGGGACTTTGTGATGTCCCTGAAATCAGCAAGCCGTATTCTTCCTGTTCACCATCTCTGCAGGACCCAAAATCAGCTGGCTGGCGGGAAGCATGCACACATGATTGGTGGAGCTGAGCTGGAGTGACGGCTTGCATGCCCGCAGAGAGGGCTTCGTATGCCAGCTGTGGCACATGTGCCATAGGTTTGCCATCTTGGTATAAGAGCTGCTTGAGGAGAGGGTTGGATTAGAAGGTCCAAGGTTCTTTCCAGCTCTATTCTGATTGGCTGATTCTACTGTAACAATTGCTATGGTTATGCTATTGAAAAAATTTCTAGATTGAATGGAATGTAATTGAAAGAGAACATTTTAGATAATTCGTTAACCTTTTAATATTGCCATGTCTGCAATGCATGTGAAAAACTTTAATCAATTTGGTTGTATTGAATACATAATAGAAGATCTTATTTCTGAAAACCTCAGTTATCTTCTTTCTAATGTTACAGCATTGTTTAAATGTTAGTTTCCATAATGAGAGCATTAATATTGTAATCAAGAGTGCAACTACAGTTTTTGTTTATTTTGTATCTAGGATATTGCAGGCAGCCTCTTGCCATTTGGCTCAGTACAGTTTACTCCAAATCCATCATCTACTTTTATAACTCCAAATACATTAAACTTAAGGAGTTTCCGCAAAGTAGTCAAGAAACTTGAAGAGTTACATCCACAAATTACTAGGTAAGTGTGTTATTCAGAGGTGATTTTTGTAGGAATATATTAAGCTGATCTTGGAAGTTCTCATTTATTTTATTTTAGAGACAATATTTTGGCTGCTTTGATGGAGATAAAAGAAAACAAGAGTCAACTTAGTGGTTTGTCCTTAAGCACAATTGTTCAAATGACATCATCTCTCCTGAATAAAAAATGTACATCACAGTCAGAAAAAAAGTAATGTGACAAATAAGTGAGTATCTTGAAAATGCATTGAAATGTATGTTTTAGAAATCTTGAGTTGTAATGAATTTCTACCCCTGCTACAGTTTGCATTTATATCTTAATGCTAAACATTTTCGGAAATACCGTAAATGCCTAATTAATACAAGTGTTTTTTACTACTGTAATAATTAGCTTAGCGTCAAGGCATAAAACTATAGTTGTTCTATATGATGCTGTTTTTATGGAATTTTTAATTAAAATCCAAAGATGTTGAAATTCAAAGGTGTGAAATTCGTACTAAGTAGCCACCATACTATGGGAAGAAAAGGAATAGGAAAAGTCAGACAACTGTAGATATGAAAAGATGTGGGTGTCTTGCTGGATCAAAAACTGAACATGACCCAACTGGGTGGTACAGTTGAAAAAAAAAACACCAATCCTAGTCTGCATCAGAATCAAGAGATGTCACCTAGACAGGGTGTCGCAACCACGGCTCCGGCGCCTCATGTGGCTCTTTGACTCCTCTCTTGCGGCTCCCTGCCAACCCGGTCGCGTGATCTACTCTCCACCTTGAGACACCGACTGTGGCTGATGCCAACCTCTCTAACACAAGGGCTGGCAGGGTGGGAGTGGGATCCGGGTGGAGTGTAGATGGAATGAGGGACAGGCCCACAGCTGAGGAGTGAGCATGAGCAGTGGTGGCAGCTTTCCCGAAGACGACCCCCCTCCTCATGCAACCTCCTGGCCGGCTGTTGCGGGGCTGGGAGAGCACGCACAAGCGGAGATACCTTCCTCAAGCGAGCTTGGCCAAAGCACAGCGAAGGTGCACGGAATGGGCGGGTTGACCAGCTGACGGGCAAGCATCTTTGGCAAGGGCACTCCGGCTTTCTCTGAACCTGATCCCCGGAGGTGGGTGGGCGAGGTTCGGAGCCAACCCCCTTTTCTCACTGCTGAGCTTTTTTACTTCTCCAGCTGAGTGATCCCGCCACCAGCGTTGAGTGAAAAGCGTCCTCCAGATGGCAAAAGTCCAAAGTGCAAGATTTATAGCCACCCAGAGGACGCTTTTCTATCAATGCCGCTGGCGGCACACTTTGCTTGAGGAGGGTATCTCCCCTCGTGTGCGCCTTTCCACTCCTGCAAAGCCAGCCAGTGGGTCGCAGGAGGAGGAGGGTCATATTGGGGGAAGCCGCGGCTCATGATCACTCCTCAGCCAGCCCGGATTTCTGAAAAGTTGCCAAGAAGAAAGGAGTAGCGAAGAGCCCCAAAGAGAGCTTGCCAGGTCAGCCCAGTGTCTTCTTTCTGAGAGAGAGAGAAGAGACACAGAGAGAGGGGGGAGAGAAATGGGAGAGAGAAAAGGGGGGAAAGAGAGGGAGAGAGCTGGAGGGAGAGAATAAGAAAAGGGAAAAAGGGAAACGAGAGAAGGAAGAAAAAAGAAAAAAAGGGAGAGGAAAAGGAAAAACAAATGAAAGGGAGGGAGGGAGAGAGAAAAGGGGAGAAAGAGAGAAATGAGAAAATGATGAAGGGAAAGAATGAGAGGAAAAAGAAACGAGAGAGAGGAGAGAGAGAGAGGAAGAGACTCATTCTCCACACAAAACACAGAGAGCCACAAAACCTGGGTAGGTGTGGCTGGGAGGGGGTGTCATGTGACTGGGTGGGAGGAGTGACATTGAGTTGGCCATGCCCACCCAGGTTTTTTGGCTCCCATTTTTTTCTGTAGAAAACTGGTCCAAATGGCTCTTTGAGTGTTTAAAGGTTGCAGATCCCTGGCCTAGCCAATTATATCTAGTTCTGAAATATTGTTTAATTAAAATAAATGGAAATAACTAATAAAATATTGTTATTAGTGTCTAACGTATAGGCAACTTTAATCACAACATTCCAGAGAGGCACTCAAGCAAGCATGGTCTTTCCTAAGAGATGTTTCCTTTATAGTGCTGACAACTTTCTCCTTCAAATGATGGCGAAAGGTATCAGCAATTTATTTGCTATTACTGATAGTGAACACTTAATCACTTAAGTGACTTAAGAAACTAGGTAATGTACACCTTAAAAATAGCAGGGTAAGAGGAATATTGTG